TTGGAATAACTTCCAAAAATGGAGCTTTCTAATGTTTGAGGAAAGCAAGGAAATAGTGACTCATTCGAAAGTTGAAAAGAATTGAGAAATTTGGAAAAAAAGGTATGAAGGAGTGGGTGGTTTTCATAAAGTTTCAGAAAAATGAGCACATGCCGGAAATGAAGCCGTTGCAGTGTCTGAGTCTCTAAATTCGTGAATAGCTTGATTATCGATCGGTGCGCACGGCTTTTTCGGGCTCATTGTTTGATCGCTCTATGATTCTTCATTAATTCTTGCTACGCGATTACCGGTTTATGATTATTTTTCTCTTCAGAAAAGAACTCATAGATACCAGAGATATTTCCCGAGCAAACATAAATCGGCTTCATGCTCGCTACATAGGAGAATCGATTAATAGGGAGAGCCTTTTTATGCAAATTTTGACAGGGACTATGGAGTTCGGGCTGTTTAAGAGAAAGGAGTGTGGAGGGAAATAGTTAGGTGTGGCACGTTGTGGCGCGCACGCAAGTGCGTGCTGGTGACGTCACAGTGCGTCACAGCTGCGGCAAGCGTGAAGCTAGCGTCAGAGTCCGCGATCCGTCGCGCGACTCGCAATATTAGTGAGCCAGATCACTAGATCACAGAAATCACAAGTGCCCCGATCAATACTGCGAGGTCGCGAATACGAATCGCGCGATGGATCGCCGACTCTGACACCAGCCTGACAAGAGGACACGCCATGGCAGCGCCGTGCATAGTTGGCTAACAACCTGAGCCATTAGTGTCGGAAGCGAAATGATCGCATCACGTATGGATATCGGTGTATGATTATTCTTCTCTATAGAAGAGAACTCATTGAATTGAATTTTTTTAATTATTGAGGAAATCAAGGTTTCATGAACAAACCACAAAAGATAGTGACTTCTTCCATTTCGATTCCTTCTTATTACTACTTTCCGCACTGTGAAGTTGGAGTGCGACAAACGCTCGCAATACGTACTGTATTAAAGTGATGGTCCATTGATCGCAACCGGCACCTGTGACATCACAGTGACGTTGTCAGCACACGCTCGCGTCCGCGCCGCCGGTGAGCTTTTCCAACGGCCCGGGGGATGAGGTGAAACGATTCCCTTGTGTAGAGAGGTAGCTAGATGAGCATTACTTTTCCCCATTTACTTTTTTCACAATAAAGAAGATGCATGCGCCAACGTTTCATAAGCCTTGAATTGCATCAAAACTGCATCTGATGCTCTCCTCTCTCCTTTCATGGAGTAGGTCCATATAGGGACAATCAGCAATGTGTTCATAGTAAATAGTAGACTTGGAGGGAAACAAGGAACTTTTGCACTCCTCATTCGTCGCGGCCCTATAACGCGACCCTGGCTTTCTTCCGAGAGCATGTGAAGGATAGCATGTAAGAGGGGAATTCTCTCCCTAGGGAGGAGTCATAAAGCCTAAACTGAGTTCCGCGCGTGACACAAAGTGATCACTTGTCTGTGTCTCCACCTCTTAATTGGCTTGAGATGATGGATGGTTCCGCCATGCAAAATTTTCCCCTAAAATGAGCTGCTGAGAAGGGAACCCCTAAGCTTGTCTGGGGCGGAACCTTCGCGCTCGCTTTGATCGATTCGCAAGAGTCAGCGCAGCGATTCGCGCAGCATAGCCTTGGCTCACCAAGCTGGGACGGAGATGACTCTTGCTCGTGTTGGCGATGAAGGGATCTTTCTGATCAAGTGGATCTGTTCTTTGTGGTGTTACACTGGCAGCTCAACAGGTGACAGTCCCAGAAGATCTATCGGTTACACTAGATGGTATGCAGCTTAAACACAAAGCGCAAAAACTGGGGCGGGGATGATCGACATTTGTTTTCTTCGTAAATAAGCGCTTTGTAAACTTCCAGGGCAGGTTTTCAAAGTCATGTAGCCGTTCCCTCATCGGA